CCCCAAAACCCCAAAACCCCATATAATCAAATTATTTTGATAAAAGCAGATGGAAGAATAAACTGTTCTGACTAATTTATATTTAGATCGATTTATTGAGTTATTCGTTAAATTTAAATTACCTAATGGAGAAAATAAAGCTGAATACAACAAGATCTTAACTAAAATCACAATAAGACTATTACTAAGCTGACAAAACGTGAGTATCTAAATATTACTAAGATAAATTCTTTAGATTTGATGATAATCATAATTCTTCAAAATTTGAGCTAGCCATTGACAAGCTTAGACATCCAAGAAGAAAACTTACAGATTTTAGCTATGATCCTAACCTTTCTAGCTCTAAATTTACTTTTTAATCAATAGTGCCTCAATCACAGAAGTCTATTCTTAATGAATCATCTTCAAATCACTCTGAGATTTATAGTCAACAAACATCCAGAAACAAGGCAGTTTTACCACCTATTCTGGATAAACTGAACAAGGCTGAAAAAGAGAATTTGAGTATCATGTCGAAATCCAGAGAGAACTTCGCTCACTCAAAATAGCCTTCCCAAATAGTTACTCTAAAAGAAAAAATCTAGAAAATCCAAAGAAAAAGGTAAATTTAATTTAAATTTATTTATATGCTTATTAGTTTGCAAAGATCCTCACATATCTTAAATTATGAGCCAGCTTAGTTTACTTAGTAAAATCTACTTATTGCTAATCTTAGAAGCAAGATTTAGAGAGAGCCATCAAGACTGCTTGATGATATATACAGCAAGAAGTAAGTTAATTACACTTATGCATATGGATAATATCTTTATAGTCCACTTCAAGCTAAGGAATCAGATCACAAGATTGTAGCTGAGTATCTTATGAAGCATGTACAATTCTTCCAAAATATGGAAAAGAGCTTAATAAGGTAATTGGCAGGTAAACTAGAATAAAGAATATACGAGAAGGACGAGAAGATAATAATCAAAGGAGAAGAAGCCCACGAGATGTTCATTCTATATTCAGGGGATGTTGGGATTTACTTAGATTAAGAATGCTAAAAATGCGTAGCTACATTATAAAGTGATAAAGTTTTTGGAGAAGCAGCACTCGAAAAAAATGACAAGAGAGGAGCCACAGTCATTGCTCATAGTGTAGTAAAAGTTCTAGTCCTTAGAAAAATCTTTTACAGGAACATAGTCTAGGTAAATTACCAGCAAGTTAATATTATTTATTTAGAATTAAAAGTAGCTCGAAAAGTTTAAAAATTTGGAATTCTTACAAACTATTTAGCCATTCAAAGATTGGAATCTGATCAAAGTTCAGGAGCTAAATAATAAGCTAAATACTTTGGCTTTAAAACCTGGCGATAATTTATTTTAGTAAGGTGATCAGGCCGAGGTGTTGTATATTGTAAAGGACGGTATCCTGAACATATCAAGTAACATCGGAATTATTTAGTATAAATCTCATCCCAAGGTAATTAATCCTTTAAATATTTAACTTAAAATAGTCTTTGTAAGAATGGGAGGTAAACAAGATTTAGAGGAATGTTAACTGTTTTATCAAGAAAGCTTAGCCTGGTGATTTACTGGGTCTAAATGAATTAATGAGCTAAATACAATTGAGAGAGTCCTCAGCCTTATGTGAAATAGATTCAGAGATTTTGTATATTAATAAAGATGATTTTCTGAAAAGTAAGTAAGATAAGGGTTGAATGGACAATTTTAGTTATTGAGAAAAGAGAAATTTAAGATATTGAAGATAAGAGTTTATTAATGAAGATTGACCCAGTTAAATTAGCTAAAGAGTACATGAATTAACTGGCTGCGGATAAAATGAAGAAGGATATTATGATAGGGGCTGTTAAGCTTAATGATTAGAGTAATAATAATCGTAAACTGCTAGGATCGATTTCAAATAGAGTAAGAATATTTACGAATTTCATCCATAATTTAGTCATCTTAGAATGTTAACTAATGGCTTAATAATAAAAGTCTGCAATTTATTAACAATATAAAGCAGTAGAGTATGGATGTGAATTATTCAATAGTAATTAAATTTGTTTCATTTAATTATTTAGGCTAATCTCTCTTAGGAAAGGTAAATACTAGAAAAGGAAAAAATAATAAAGCGAACAAGATAGTCTAATTTCAAGTTAATAGCTAGCAAAAAACAAGTGCTCTTGATTGATCAAAATCAGTATAAAGACTTCCAAAATATCAAAGAGTCACCATTAGATAAAAGAGTTAAACTTCTACATCTCATTGAATCTTTAAGAGATAAATTATTTGATTGATTTATTATATTCTATCGTCTTAATAATCAATAATCTTTGAATTTCATTCAGGGGTTTTGGGGTTTTGGGGTTTTGGGGTTTTGGGG